GTTTAAAAAACTGTGGGCATTCTTTCTAAGATCAGATATTATGTACCACGCCCTGCCCTGGTGACTCTCTATTACTCCCTTATCTATCCATATCTCAACTATGGTATTTATGCTTGGGGCTCTACTACCCAAAATCACTTACGTCCTCTAATTACTCAACACAAAGCTGCTATTAGGACAATATCCAATTCTGGCCCCAGACATCACTCGGTACCCCTACTCAAATCTCTGAATATGTTAGACATTAAGTCACTGCACATTCTCTCATGTGTATTATACATATATAAAACGCTAAACTATAATGCCAATCCTGATCTCAAAAGCTTCATAGAAGGTTGTAACAGAACCCATGAGCACCACACCAGAAATAAATACAGTTTTGATATTCCTAGAGTACGACTAAATCAAACCAGAAATGCTCTACAAATCAAGGGGCCCAGAATGTGGAATGACCTTCCCAACCATGTTAAAGACTGTACCTCTCTCAACCAGTTTAAGTTAAAAACGAAGCTATACCTAATAAATTCCCTGTAACCCACCTTACCCCCCTGTTGTCAACCCATGTATATTTTTTGTTTTTTTGTTTTTCAAATCAACGCTGTTTGAATGTAATTTTCTGTAATAATTTGTAATTGTATTTGTGCTGCTTTTTCAACAATGTTCCCCCCTCTTTTACCTCTATTTTTTATATGTACTCATCACATCTTTTCTTTTTACCCATTAGTTTTAAGCTGTAGTCATTAATGTTTTTCCTGCCCGAAACGCTTTGCGTAATAGTGGCTTTAGGCATTGTATGTACTAGCTCTATCTATAAAGCCAACAAACTTTGTAAATCTCTTTATGTATGTACCTTACCTAAATAAAGATTATTATTATTATTATTATTATTATTATTATTATTATTATTATTATTATATATTATGGCATTTATAGGCGATGCTGTGGTCACAAGCTGAACAGCAGTGCTGTGAGCTCATGCTGCGTGCGTCAGGCTTGGTAGCTCACTCAATACTGAGGCCCCTAACACCCTAGAGTTTGGCCCACGATTTTTAAAAAAAATGGCATTTGTTTACAAGAGCCCTGATGAAGGTGTGGTGAACCCCGTGTATCCGCGGGCCGTTTAAATCTTGCGTAGTACTCCAAAGCATCATATGATGCGATGCGCAATTTACTGCAAGTCGGTCAAAGCATCATATGATGCGATGCGCAATTGAAGGGTTAATTTTGACTTTTGGTTGGTTTGGCCTGCAGTGCATTATGTGCTGTGTCCAGTGGCAGCTCTCCACTGCTACCTTCATGCCACCAATTTTGCTTCAGTGGATGCTCCATGGAAACTGGATTAAACAGATTAGTCCTGTTTCCATGGTTCCCTGTTCCAAACCTCGTGTTCCTCAGATTACCCACAGTGTTAAGTCTAGCCATGCTGAGGTGTATCCTTTAGCCATTTTGTTCGGCAGTATGCTGCTCTCATGTTTGTATGTATGTATGTATGTATGTTTCATATACATAGGCAGTATGTTTCTCTCAATATCAATAATTTTATGGCTGTGTTTGCATACTGTATGTCCTTGGCTGATATTTGCACGCTGGAGTTTTGATGGCCAAACAGGGTTCTAGCAACCCGGTATTTGGTGAATGTTCCCAGGCCTCAGTGCCCATGTGTGACTTTGGGTAGTGTTTTGTCCAGGGGTCTTTTCTTAACCACTTAACTGCGCCAAACGAGTATTCTCGGTTGGTGAGAAACTGTGCCAACTGAGAAAACTCTTATTTGATTTTTTTGTACCCATTCTAAATGTTTGCGCGGTTGGTTGTGTACGAAATGAACTCTTAGGACCTCCAGTGAGAGGCAGCCATCTTGGAAAAAATTCCCAAAATGCCCTAGGGCTGCTGGCTGGGTTAGTATTGAGTGAGTAACCATGGGTGGCGCATGCGCCTCTGGCTCCCAAACACCTGTCTGACGCGGTGTTGAAAGATCACACTCTGTCGGTGAAATTCAACCCTTATTGTTTGAAGAACATAAGGGATCATAATATTGGTGAAGCTAGGCGCAATAAGGTCGGATGCAAGTGATACAGCACCTTACACACACAAATCACAATAACATGATGCATCAATGAACAAATCCACAAGGGCCGTGACGAGGATTCGAACCTACGTCTGTGAGCATTCCAGATGCTGCCTTAATCGACTGAGCTACGACATGGTAAAAGAGTTGAAACCGAAGTTCTACTGAACTTACTGGATCCTGCAGCCTCTCCGAGACACAAACCAGGGTTTTACACAACTCCCCCATGCACTCGAGCTATGTCAATAGGCCGTTCTACCTCTTCGCCCTTCCTTCATTACACACAGAAATCACAATAATGTGATGCATCAATGAACAAATCCACAAGGGCCGTGACGAGGATTCGAACCTACATCTGTGAGCATCCCAGACGCTGCCTTAATCGACTGAGCTACGACATGGTAGACATATGCTCACAGACGTAGGTTCGAATCCTCGTCACGGCCCTTGTGGATTTATACAGCACCCATGAGGACGATACAGTGAGCATATCCAGTTGTAGCTCCGAGCGCCACCCATACCCACCTATGCTATCTCCAATTTATTTAGATGATACATAGATGAATCTTTTTCTGCGTTCAGTGATGATGCATGTGATAAAAGTAGCATAGATGAAGAGTGTTAACGGCTTCCATGGTGATGTTTTCCATAGATATTTTCAAGAATAGTTGAATCTCTTCTTGACTGACAGACACTCTTTGAGGCTGGCTGAATCTCTTTCTGTGTGGGACCTTACAAAGCGATTTTGTCACGACTACCTTACAAACTGATCTTTTCCTGTAATCTTTTCAAGACTACCTTATGTTTTACAAGCTTGGCTATATACCACCTACAAGTACCAATGCCAAGGGTGTACATGAGTCCGTTATTTGCAAGCACACAGAACGAAGAAACAGGAAGCGAAAATCTATCTGTACCTGGTGCAACGAGAGCGAAGTTGTGCTGTGTACCATGGACTACTTCATTGATTATTACTCACTTCCGAAGTACTGAGTGTGTAATACAGTGTGTTACTGTGTAAATAGTGTGTGAAACTGTACATATTGTAATTTTAGTGAATTTTTAACAAGTAATATTGCAACAATAAACATTTATTGTGGACACATTACTGATACATGTATCACAGTTCCATGGAACATTATGGACGTTCTACTGTATACATATTGTAAAGGACACAAATATGCATCATATATGATTAAAAAAACATTAAACTGCATTGAAAATACATAGAACAAATAATTGAAAATATATATATGGCAACACCCGGTGCTTGAATGGCTATCTTGAGGTTATCTTGAGTTGATTTCGGGGCTATTTTAGTGTCCCCGCGGCCCGGTCCTTGACCAGGCCCCACCCCCAGGAAGCAACCCGTGACAGCTGACTAACTTCCAGGTACCTATTTACTGCTAGGTAACAGGGCCATAGGGTGAAAGAAACTCTGCCCATCGTTTCTCGCTGGCGCCCGGGATCGAACCCGGGACCACAGTTTCACAAGTCCAGTGTGCTGTCCGCTCGGCCGACCAGCTCCCCGATCACGGGCCCGCGCGACCGTGTCTGGGTGTGTCACGCACGGACGACCAGCCCCTGATGACGTCACAGCGCACCTTGTCCACGTCCCCACAGCCAAAGTAAGTGGAATTTCGTATTTATTTTTACATAGACATGTTCAAGAAAGGGCATTTATCATTTTACGAAGAAAAAAGAATTTTTGGGAATACTTTATTTCATGCGCACAGGGGGAATTTCACAATAAACTCGGCGCAGCACGGTAGTTAATCCTAGTTCAACGGTTCAATTCTTCTCCTAGTTCAATGGAGAACACACGGGAACTTACCATGGAAGAATGCAGAACCACAACGGTAGTTGTGGTTCTGCATCCTCCCTGGTAAGTTCCCATGTGTTCTTCTCCATGGGTAGTTAACTTCAGGGAGCTACAAGAAAACTACCAGCTTCTTCTAGCTTCCCTCCCAAAAAGGGGCTTTTCCCAAGAAGGGGCTTTCCCCAAGAAGGGGCTTTCCCCAAGAAAGGGCTTCCCTCAAGAAAACTAGCATTGAATGTAATGAAAGAACAATTTCTGGGTGAGCCCCGGTGGCTTGCTGATCTCCCCATCTTTCAGGTTTCTCCCTTTCAGGTTGTTTGGTAAGTTTTGTTTGTGCATCTGCTCCATAACTGACTGCTCAGACCCCAGGAAGGTGGTGAGCCCCTTCACACCCCTCCCCTGAAATGAGTAGGGGAGGTGGGGTGAACATGCTCCCATTAGCGTCGAGAGATTTAATTGTTTATATAGTTGGGGGAATTCATTAGGTAGGTTTCAAAGTTTGGGTCTCATTTGAACCTAGAAATGGTTTGTTTTGACTCGCTAACTTTCTGGATGCCTTCCATAGTGAGGGAGGTAAAATGTTATCACTTCCTACACCTCTGTGAGGGGGTCCAGGCTCTTGTCCCCAGTAGGCCTGAGAACTTCATGGCTGATGTAACCTGGTAGATGGGAACCATCTCATTGTATAGCTTCAGGGAGCCACTGGGGCTCATACAGAAATTGGGGTTTCATTACATTCAATGTTAGTTTTTCTTTTAGAATTTTAATTAAAAGAAAACTTTTATTATTGAAAATTATATATTCTGTGTATGAATTTACAGTGCATCAGTTTCTATATAAAGCTTACCAGTTTATTCCTTTGCCTGATTATTATTGTCCAAAAAAATTGGACTATCCATTGCTCTTTAAGAATTTTAAACTTAATATGTTTTATCATTGTTGTAAAAATGTAACAATAAAACATAGGTATTTTTTAAATTTTTATTTATGTAGGCAAACATATAATGGCATGTTTTCTTGGCAAATGTTTTCAAGTTGGCTACAGGTTGTTCTTGTTATCAATTTTCCAATTATTTCTTTAATGCCTCTGAACTATTGAGATTATTTCCATTACAGAAATATTCTACAAGAACTGATGGACGAGGCTTACCTTGAGCATGATGCTTTGTGAGTAAAGAATATAATTTACCCAAATTCTTTGTCCAGTTTTTAAAGACATATTCATATCTTTCTCTTGTAATGGTTCTTAACCTTTTGATTGCATGTTTACATATAGTACGTAAGTAAATAAGCTACCTTACTTCTTACCCTTACATGAAGTAAGGGCGAAGAGGTAGAACGGCCTATTGACATAGCTCGAGAGCATGGGAGAATTGCATAAAATCCTGGTTTGTGTCTTGGAGAGGCTGCAGGATCCAAGTAAATTCAGTAGAATTTCTGGTTGCAATTCTTATATCATGTCATGTCGGCTTATATCATGCTCAGTCGGTTAAGGCAGCGTCTGGGATGCCTTTGGACGTAGGTTTGAATCCTCGTCACGGCCCTTGTGGATTTGTTCATATGATGCATCATGCTATTGTGATTTCTGTGTGTAATTGTACTCTGAGATCTATATTTCACCATCATGGTAGTCCTTTGTGTGGGTTTCCGTTAGGGCTACAAACACTGCATTAGAGCCTCATGTAGGAGGCCATCTATAAAATGAACTTTGTTAGATTTGCGTATTTTTATACCCTGGATGTTGGCAAATAAAAATGATGTTATCATGTTTGTGTAAGTGCTGGATGCTTTACTTGGTGTTAATATCTGAGGCCATGGTAGGTAGGCCACTGTGTTTGTGTCCTCTCTAGCATTTGACTGAGTTAATGGTAGAGTCTGGACATTTTTTGCCTTTCTCCTCCTCCTCCTCCTCCTCCTCTTGCTAAAAAATCATCCTGGTCAATAGAGTTGTGGAGGTTTTCATAGTAGAGGTCTGTTGGTTTTATTCACCTGGTACCTTTTATATGAAAAGATGGACATTCCATGTTGAAGCATTCTTTTTTGCCTAAGGAGTACAGTATCCATTCGATTTATCGGCCTATATGAGGCTGTACCCAGGTCGTTAAATGTGGGGCTCCAGTATTTCCAAAGTTGTTGAAGTGTCGGTAAATTTCAAGTAACATTCAGGTAAGATATATTTTGTACAGACAGCCACTTGGTCCACCACTTTAGTGCCTTCTACTCTGTGATGCCACAGATTCACAGCACATTGTTTTGATTTGTCATGAGGCTGGAGTGTCCATTCTGTGACTTTGTTGGACATATCTGCGCAATCAAGGAACATCCATGCACCATGTCGGCTCCAAATGCACTCATTGTGTCAGTGAAGGCTCACTGGTGGGTGAGTGGATGGATGGGGGAGCTTGGGTGGGAGGTAGTGAGAGAGGGGGAGAAATAGTGACAGGAGGAGGGAGGCAGTGAGGGAGAGGGAAGGTAATGAGGGAGGGAGAGGCTGGGAGGCAGGGAGAGGCTGGGAGGCAGGGAGAGGCTGGGAGGCAGGCAGGCAGTGAGGCAGGGAGGCAGGCAGGCAGGCAGGCAGGGAGAGGCATGCACGGAGGGAGAGGAAGGCAGGGGCAGGCAGGTGGGGGGGGGAGGCACAGGCAGGGAGGGAGGGAAAGGCAGGCAGGGAGGGAGAGGCAGACAGGCAGGAAGGAAGAGGCAGGCATGGAAGGAAGGAAGAGGCAGGCATGGAAGGAAGGAGAGGCAGGCAGGGAGGGAAGGAGATGCAGGCAGGGAGGGAGAGGGAGGCAGGAAGGCAGGGGGCAGGCAGGAAGGCAGGGGGCAGGCAGGCAGGCATGGGGGAGAGGCACAGGTAGGGAGGGAGGGAGAGGCAGGCAGGCAGGGAGGGAGAGGCAGGCAGGCAGGAAGGGAGAGCCCTCTCCCTGTGCCCCAGGGAGAGGCACAGGCACAGGCAGGGAGGGAGGGAGAGGCACAGGCAGGGAGGGAGGGAGAGGCACAGGCAGGGAGGGAGGGAGAGGCACAGGCAGGGAGGGAGGGAGAGGCACAGGCAGGGAGGGAGGGAGGGAGAGGCACAGGCAGGGAGGGAGGGAGGGAGAGGCACAGGTAGGGAGGGAGAGGCACAGGCAGGGAGGGAGAGGCACAGGCAGGCAGGGAGGGAGAGGCACAGGCAGGCAGGGAGGGAGAGGCACAGGCAGGGAGGGAGGGAGAGGCACGGGCAGGGAGGGAGGGAGGGAGGGAGAGACACACGCAGGGAGTGAGGGAGGGAGAGACACACGCAGGGAGGGAGGGAGAGGCACAGACAGGGAGGGAGAGGGAGGCATGGGCAGGGAAGGAGGGAGGGAGAGAGACACACAGGGAGGGAGGGAGAGGCACAGACAAGGAGGGAGAGGGAGGCATGGGCAGGGAGGGAGGGAGGGAGAGACACACGCAGGAAGGGAGGGAGAGGCACAGACAGGGAGGGAGAGGGAGGCATGGGCAGGGAAGGAGGGAGGGAGAGACACACGCAGGGAGGGAGGGAGAGGCACAGGCAGGGAGGGAGAGGCACACACAGGGAGGGAGATGCACAAGCAGGGAGGGCGAGGCACACGCAGGGAGGGAGATGCACAAGCAGGGAGGGGGAGGCAGATAGGGTGAGGAAGGCAGGGAGGGAGGGATGTTGAGTTGAATTACGGGACCTTGAAGCAGAGTGAGTGTATGGGATGTAGGGGGTGGGGGCGGTCTGTTGGTGGTGGGGGAGGGACAGGCTCACTCTGATAAGCCTATCACATTCAACCCCGTTAGCCAGATTTCTTTCTTAAATTTTGGATGTGCATCATCATATATATTTTTGGTTACAGATTTTGTTTAGTAATTTTATTAGGATAATAAAAAAATTATAAAAATACTTGTTTCGTGAATGCTTTATTGTATTATATGGAGATATCTTTGGCTAGCAATCCAATCTACTGAGCCACCTACCAGAAGGGTCTCTTGGGGGAAGGGGGGGGGGGGGGCAGGAAGTAAAAGTGTAGGGGGAGAGCTACAGGGAGGGTGTGGGGGGAGAGCTGCAGTGAGGGTGAGGGGGGAGAGCTGCAGTGAGGGTAAGAGCTGCAGTGAGGGGGGGAGAGCAGCAGTGAGGGTGAGGGTGTGGGGGTGAGCAACAGTGAAGGTGTGGGGGAGAGCAACAGTGAAGGTGTGGGGGAGAGCAGCAGTGAGGGGTGTAGGAGAACTGCAGTGAGGGTGTGGGTGAGAGCTGCAGTGAGGGTGTGGGTGAGAGCTGCAGTGAGGGTGTGGGGGGTGAGAGCTACAGTGAGATTGAGGGTGTGGGGGAGAGCTGCATTTAGGGTGAGGGTAGGGGGGGGGAAGTGCTGCAGTGTGGGTGAGAGCAGGAATGATAGTAGTAGGCGGCCCGCTGATGCTAAAACAAACCCAATACAGACCTATTGCTCTATTGACCGCCAGACTGGTATATGAGGCTCCAGATACCGGTCTCCCAAACCGGTCGATGGAACCGACAGATCGGTAAATCGGAGGCCGTTAAATCGAGTGGATACTACTTGCATAGTTCTGGGTGAAAAAAAATCACACCTTTCGGTACATTTACCTGTACTAAGGAGGTTTCTGCACTTTCTAGGGTGATTGTACTTACATATTCCATTTGTCCTTCCCGACATTCCATGTTTACAGGTACCCCATTTATAATGTCGACAGGTTTTGGGTCATTTTGTGGACCCAAATCCTTGTGTGTGTGTATAATTTCTGTGGAGAGCCCCTTCGGCTCTCTGGAGCTATACTGGGCTGATGTGTATATATTAGACCGTGGCAACAGCCAATCGAAGGAGTTCTAAGCCTACCGAGGACCAGAGCCAGAACCTGGCCCCTCAAGACCTCAAGAGAGGCATGAGGAGCAATGGTCCAAAGACACCCCCGTGTAATTGGAAGCAGTCTTTGTCTGCCATCTACCAGGACAGGCACCCAGAAAGGTAGGACTTCCAAAACAAACTACTGCAGATCAAAGAAACTCAAACCGAAAGCCACACTAGCAACAGAACTCCCCAATCAAAACCAAGGAAACAAGTATGACGTCACCACAAACGCCGCGCATCCATCTGCGCACCCCCCTCCCTCCTCCCAGGGAGGGGGATGGGGGAAGGTCCCAGACCTCCACGCTGGCAACTCTCCTCAGTTCAAGAGGCTGTTGTGTTGTGATGGTCGATTGCTCTGGCTCCACTCTATGCGCAGTGCAGTGTTGTTGCTCTGTTTTGGTGGTGTGTGGGTCAGGCGTAACACAAGAGTATTGGGGATGCATGCACCTAGGTCCGCCTTCCCTAGGTGCCCTGTAAGTACTGCCTTTGCGGCCTCAGGGTTATCTTCCACGAGCCGTTCAGGAGCAGCTACCTCTGTGTGGTTCTGTGTGGCTTGGTGATTGCCCGCCCTTGGGGGTTCAGCTGGGGGTGGTTCTTTCTCCTGTTTTCCCTTGGGTTAGGAGGTAGTTTCGTCGCTGGCTGGGGCGCGAGGTACTGTGCATCTGTCTGATATACGCATAGCGACAGGTTCTGTTCTCCTGGAGACATTGTGGTTTTGCAGGGTTTTTCTTCTGTTTTTGTTTTGTTTTGCCTTGCGGGGGTCTGCCAGGTGTGACGCTAGGACCACAGATAGGTTTTTGGGGGCCCTCCACTAGGTCTCCATGCTTGCACACATCGTAGTGGTTCAGCTTTTAGATTGTTTGCTTGGTAGCTCTGGGATAGCTGATTAGCAATACTTCGCCTGAGCTTCCCTTAGCAGTCAGCCTAAGGGTCCTGGAAACCCCCATTGGGGCTCAGTGGTCCAATGTAGGAGACCTCTGAGTCCCACCTCGCCTTGTGCGAGTTTGAAGGTTGCTCTGTCCCCCTGTTTTGGGGTGACACTCACCGTCTGCCTCCGTCTTGCTGCTTGTTGGGGTCAGTGACACCTATGACCCGGAGTCCTGGGAGTGGTGTCCTTTGCTTGTACTCCATTCACACTGAGACTGATATTTGGGTGCAGGCAGCTATAACTTCTGGATCAGCGGCGGAGGCATTCGAGCCTGGTTCTCCTGCCGGAGCTTTTCGGCCATGCCAGTGAGGCCCCTTTCATCCCTGCTTTTCCGGTGGACTCTGCTTTTTCTCCAAAGGCAGAGGGTTTGGAGGACGGCTCGGCCCCGGGTCCTGACGTGGAGGATTCTGGGGCTGGGGAGGAGTTGACTTGGGGGGCCTGAGCCCCACTTATCCCTGCTTGGGTGTTTGGTACCCTTGGTGCAGGGGCTTGTTGTTACAGGGGGAGGGGTTTTTCCTTTCCCCCTCCTTGTACAATTTTGTTAAGAGTTTGACTCCTCCTCTTGGTTCGGTTCCGAGTTCCCTTGGGTTCTTCGGTTTCCTCCTTCTGGAGGTTTTAGGCTTCCCTCATCCTACCGAGGAAGGTGTGGGAGGCCCCTTCAATTGCGGGTTATCTCTTGTGAGACCCTTATTACGCCTCAATAATGAAGCCATCATTTTTATTTTGGCTCCTCTTTTTCTTTATTTTCTGGTTGGCAGACTGCCTTTTCTTCTTTGGGGGCTTGGCATTTGTCCTGTCGGAATGCGCACTTGAATGGCAAGAGTTGCTTATGGTCTTTCAGGTTTTCCTGGGGGGTGAGTTGGAGCACCTCAAGGTGTGCTAGTTCTCTCCCGTCCTTCCTTAGGATGTTGGTCAGGTGCGACTTCACGTGCAGGTTCCCTTTCGGCATCTCTGATGGCCGAGGATTTGTGCACCTGTGGGCACTTGGCTTCGGTCTTGCGCTTATTTTCCCTGCTGAAGCTGTCTTCGGACTGTCTCATGCTGGGTGTGGAGGAGCTGGGTTCCGGGCCAGGGTCTGGTGTGCTTGCTTCATCAGCTCGGGTGACGGCTGCTTTGGTGAAGTTGTATGTGCAGTTTCTGAGGAAGGCGGTGTCTGTTCTTCGCTTCTCGCCTCACGTGCTGACAGGCGGTGCTCGTCCAAATTTTTTAATCGTCTTGGGCCCTGGCTCTTAGATTTTCATCATGTTTTTGTCCATTACTGTTTGCAGAGTCTGCGGTAGTGCTTTTTCTGCAGGCGGCTTTGTCCTATGACGGCCTTTGTCGGACTTGTAGGTTTTTCGGGAAGGGGGGAGACCCATGGAGGTCCTGCCTGGAAAGGTCGTGCCAGGTCTCGGAGTTCCTTCGGTCGTCATAAGCCAGTAGTGCTAGATTCGGGGCTGGCACCTCCTCTGGAGCCGTCAGCGTTCTAATCGGCACAGTGATCGCTCTTAGCGTCGTTTGGGCTCTCGTAGGGGTCGTTGGCCCTTTTGCAGGTTGCCCAGTTGACAGGGCGATACGGGGGGAGGCTCGTGCTGTTTGCTCTCACCTGGTCCCACAATTCGTGGGCATTTTGGATCGTTTCCTCCGACTTGTGGTGGCGTTGGGTCGCTCCTCCTCTTTCGGGGGGATCAGGGCTGGCAGGGCAAGCCTCTTCTCCTGTGCTCTGTCAGGTCATCCGGAGGTGGGTTCGCTTGGGTGTAGTCGAAACGGCAACATCCCTCAGGTGGGTTTCCACCTGTTTTCAGTTCCAAAATGGGACTGTGCGGATCTGTGATTCATACTGGACTTGTCTAGTCTGAATCCTGGGACTTTTGCCCCCCCCCCCCCCCACTCTCTTTCTGATGACCACTCTGTCTCGGGTCCGGCTGCTTTTGCCGCCGGATGCCTGGATGGTGTCTCGGGACCTCTGGGACGCATTTTGGTTTTATAATTTTATTGTACGCGTCCCAATTCATCCGGGGTTCAGTGGCTGTCTCGGTTTTGTCGTGGGACGACAAGCTTACCGCTTTCATTGCCTTCCATTCGGCTTGAATCTGGTACCTCGAGTGTTCACACGCCTTACCGGGTCATGGTGATCTGTTTGCTTCTGTTAGAGGTTCAGGTTCTGATTTACCTTGACGACTGGCTGGTGTGGGCTCCCAGCCAGTTCACGTGTTTGCTCGCCAGGGATATGGTTCTTTCCCAGCTCGCCGGGTCCCTTGTTCATGGTGAACTGGAGGAAGTCCCTTTTGGTTCCCTCTCAGGTTCAGACTTGGCTGGGTCTAGTATGGGTCTCTCGGACTGCTTCCTTGTTTCTCCCTCCTGCGACGCTGTTGCAGCTGCGATCTCGCCTCCAGCTGTTTTTGGAGGGCACCCAGGTCACATGTCGGATGTTTGAGCAGCTGTGCCGGAACCTGAACTTCGCCGTGCTAATCTACCCATCGGGTCGGATCCGGCTTCGGCAATGTTCTGGTTTCTTCAGGGTCGTCCCTTCTGCTGCTCTCGCGATCAATGGGTTCATATCACAGGAGCCCTGCGTCAGCTGCTGCGTCACCGGCTTCTTCTGCGGGTTTTTCGGGGTTCTGTGCCGTGGCGCCTCCCCGAGCCCTCGCTTGACGTGTTCACGGATGCCTCGCCTCGTCTCTCGGCTGGGGTTTGGTGACCAGGCCGGCCAGGGTCAGTGAGGTCTGGTGTCCCACTGACACCAGACCTTTGTCTGGTGCCAGTCTTTTTTCAAGCGCTTCTTGCTCGATGTCTGAACCCGAGGGTTTTCCTGCGGCTCTGCCTCTTTCAGCAGATCGGTCCGGTCCGTTACATGGCTGGTTCGATCTTCTCCTCCACTCTTCACATCTGGTCTGGTGTATCACCACTTGTATGGTGATCAGGTGGCTTAGTTGATGGTGTCCCACCTGCGAGTTTCGTCTAGACGGCAGTATGAAATTTCCTGGAGGTCCTTTCAGTAATTATTATCTCTTCGTAGGTTGTCTTCGATTTCTGATTGGGTCTGGTCTTTTTGACGTGGGTGTATCACCACTTGTATGGTTATCAGGTGGCTTAGTTGATGGTGTCCCACCTGCGAGTTTCGTCTAGACGTCAGTATGAAATTTCCTGGTGGTCCTTTCGGTAAATTTTGTCACTTTGTAGGTTGTCTTCGATTTCTGATCGAGATGTTTTGTCCTTTCTCTTAGTTGTTTCAGGACCGTCATCTTGTGCCAAATACTGTCGCCTCATTTCGTGCGGTGCTGGTGGAGCCGCTGTAGCTTGCTTTCGGGGTGGATGTCTCTTCTGCTCTGTTCCGCAAGCTTTCTCGGACGTTGTTTCACCTCCGGCCTGCTCTTGAGCCGCCTGAGCCGTCCTGGTTGTTGGACTGGGTGCTCTCTCTTCTCCTCGGTTTGTGGTGGCCCCCTCGGTTCAGGACTGTTTTTCTAAAGCTCTTTTCTTGGGGGCATTGGCCTCTGGGGGTTCGGGTCGGGGAGTTTCAAGCTCTTCTCTGGCGCAGGGGTTTCTGCTCTTTCAGTCCTGGATGGTCGTTTCGTTTGTTTGCAGCCTTCTCCTTCTTTTCTGGTGAAGAATCAGTCTGCTGCTTTCCAAAGGGGTCCTTGGGTTGTTGATGCTTGGTTGGTTTGACTGGGGTGCATCATGTTTTGTGTCAAGTTGTGGCTCTTTGCCGGTATCTGTGCGTCACGGCCTCTGTGGTAGGGGACACGATTTGGGTGGACCTGGTTTCCCTTCTTCCCTATTCCAAGGCGGGGTTCTCCCAGTTTGTCCGCAGGATTATTCGGTCCAGCCAGCCTGCGGTATATTCCCGTGCCCACGATGTTCGTAAGTTTGCGGCTTTGGCTGCAGTTTTTTGGGAATATGTCCTGGCTGACATTCGAGCATGGGGCTTATGGAGGTCGAACAGATTCCTGGCTGGACGGTATCTTGTTTTTGTTCCTGGGCCTTTTTGGGCATGTGTAGCCTTGGGTTGCAGGTTGCAGCCATTTTATCTCGACTTTGAGTTGGGAAGCAAGTGACGACCGCCTCCCAGGTAAATCCCTCCTTTTCTTTGTCTTTGGTTAGGTAACCCCAGGGAGCCAAAGGGGCTCTCCACAGAAAACCAGCGTTGAATGTAATGAAACACCATTTTCTGGGTGAGACCCGGAGGCTCCCCGGCATCCCTCCCTCCCTTCGGTCGGCGGTTTTTCGTGTTTTTTGATACTCGCCCTCTGAACTAAGGAGAGTTGCCTGGGACCCCCCCGTCCTCCTCCCAGGGAGGGGGGGGGGGGTTGCGCAGACGGATGCGCGGCGTTTGTGGTGACATCATACTTGTTTCCTTGGTTTTGATTGGGGAGTTCTGTTGCTAGTTCGGCTTTTGGTTTGCAATTTATTCGATCAGCAGTAGCTTGTTTTGGAATTCCTACCTTTCTGGGTGCCTGATCTGGTAGATGGCATACAAACACCATTTCCAATTACAGTACACGGGGGTGTCTTTAGGCCATTGCTCCTCATGCCTCTCTTGAGGGGGCCAGGTTCTGGCTCTGGTTCCCGGTAGGTTTAGATTGACTGTTGCCACGGTTAATATATACACATCAGCCCGGTATAGCTCCAGGTAGCCTCCTGGTCTCACCCAGAAAATGGTGTTTCATTACATTCAACGCTGGTTTTTTGTTTTTTAAAGTAAAAAATACTGTAATTTTGTTTTATTCATTAAAATTTCTTTATTGCAGTTCCTTATTTGAGGGTGTGATGAAAGGACTGGAGCCATGGTATGTTGTATCAGATCAATCAAATTTACCAGATCCTCGCTCCACTTTATTAAACGCTCAACCATTTGCTCGGCCCCAGGTTAGTATATAGTATAATTTTATCATTGTTTTTGAATGTAAAGTTGATATTTAATTAATTATAAATGTGTATAGTCAACCCTCATTATTTACTATGAATGTTTTCCAGGAATATTCTATTCATAGAAATTTGTGCATAGTGAACTTGAGGAATTGTAGGGTAAATTTGGGGATGCCTTGCAGACACCTCACAGGTCCTCTTTTATTCCATTTAAAAAATATCTGAACCTGATTTTTGTACACTTGTCACTTTTCAGCTTCAAAAGTACTGTACTTCGTAATGTTGACTTGTATACCTACCAGCTACAGTGCGTAGGTAGTTTAGCTCATTTATTATGCACCCCATACCCATCTTGTGGGTGGTAGTGCAAAGGGTTACAGAGGCACATAATGGGCTCAAGTTCTGAGCCCCACAATTCATTTAGCTAAGCACGTTACATTCTTGATGAGCTAGTTACAAAATTCAATGCACATCGTCACATCAACAGTGGGCTCGAGACCAACCACAAGTACAGTTTATTATTTAAACATCTGACATGTGGAGAGCTAGTGTCACAATTGATATGTTTATCCTGCACACCGCTCCCCATCCAGTAGGCAATGGTGGATAGGTTACACTCACTCAGTTACTACTTACAGTTAGCAAACTAGGGATATTTGGCCAAGATGTCTGGCAGCAGATCATTTTTAATGAAATATTTACACATCTCTTGAACATTTGTTATAGAGTTGTCTCTGAATTCACACATCTTTTCACACTCAATCAAATAGTGATGAAGGATGTGCTAATAATTTTGTTGACACAGTTTACATTTGGTCAGGTCTACATCAGCAGGTAATGAAAATTCCCAGAGATACTTGTAACGAAGTCTAAGCCGAGCAGTAGTAACATCTATAAGTCTGCTGATTTTATTGGATGATCCATAGATGTGTGGCTCCTCTTGCATGATAGTATGATGATAGAAAGAATCACTGGTGTCGATTTCACTTTGCCTCAGATCTACAAGATTTTGTTGGAAGTTCATGGTGTACTACTGCTCTTAGATTGCGCATTAACAATCCAAGGTTATACTCAATTTCTCCTTTAAAAGCAGATTCTTTGGCTGCATCAGCTCTATCATGCATTCGGTGTAAGGTACGGGATTGAAAGCCGTACCCTAGAGTATGGCTAACAACATCCGCTCGTACTTTCTTATAAATAATCGGAGTGCCGGTGTTTATATAGCAATAATAAACAGTTCTAACTACGTGGGACAAGAAATACACCTTGGGATACAATTTTACAAAAGGATTTTTATTTAACAAGGCCAGATTATCCCACACTGATTAGAACAGGGATTGGGGTGTACTAAGGCCCACCACAGGATTGATACAGACAAGGGGGAGAAGGTTCTGTCCCACCAACACATATCTCAGGAGACAACTGGCACAAGGGTCCACACACACCTAAGTAATTACAACAGTTTAGGCCTCAACAAACAGGGACTGAAGGTCATTACTATATTCCAATACCTGGTAGATACCTGGTAGATGGGGTTCTGGGTGTTCTTCTACTCCCCAAGCCCAGCCCGAAGCAAGACTTGACTTGTGAGAGTTTGGTCCACCAGGCTGTTGCTTGGAGCGGCCCTCAGGCCCACATACCCACCACAGCCCAGCTGGTCCGGCACTCCTTGAAGACTCTTGGGTCACTACAAAGGACATGGGTTTTAACACTACACTGTTCTGACCACAATACACAAAGGGATGTACAAAGTAAATGTGGATAACCCCATGTGACAGAGCTGAGCACATGCACATGAATTAATAACACACCACTCTACCTCCACACAGGGTTCTAAAATCCTTATTTTCTACAAATTCCTATCTCTAACTCATACAAAAATGGAAGCACTGCTATAAAAACCTCTAATACTGCACTTATCGTATTCTGGAGACCATTCCAAGACACACAAGTGCCTCTGGTTCTTTCCCTCACTGCCTCTCTCCACCAAGTGAAGGAGAGGAGCTTGCACATGTGCCTCCTGCCCAGTTCCAATAATGTCTCATCCCTCCACATATCATATACATTTCCCAATAGTTCATTTATATGTCTTATAATGTTCCAGGCTGTTTTTCTATATTTAACACTGTTGTTTCTCTATATTTTTTGCATTGAATCTGCTTTCTAACCATTTTATCACTTTTGTTTACATTGGTTTCTTGGAGATGACATTTTCCTGTTAAGATGATGCTCTGTATATCTGCAGGGGTAAAAGTACCAGACTGCTTTTCAACATTTAACACTGCTATTTCTCCCTACACAAGGGTCTCTCTCTTACAACGGAGGCCAACATGAGATGGAGTCCACATTTCTAACTTCAGAATTGCTTTTAAATATATGGAAGGAGAAATACTAAAGAAATTCTTCATGACTTTTGTTAGACCAAAGCTGGAATATGCAGCGGTTGTATAGTGCCCATATCTTAACAAGTTCATCGACAAACTGGAAAAGGTGCTTAGTCGTGAAACTAAGTGGCTCCCAGAATTGACAGACAAGAGCTACGAGGAGAAGTTAGAGCCATTAAATATGCAAAAATTAGAAGATAAAAGAAAAAGAAGTGATATGATCACTACTTACAAAATAGTAACAGGAATCGATAAAATTGACAGGGAAAAATTCCTAAGACCCGGAACTTTAAGAACAAGAGGTCATAGATTTAAACTAACGAAACAAAGCTGCCGGAGAAATATAAGAAAATACACTTTTGTAAACACTGGTAAACAGTTGGAACAAGTTAGGTGAGAGTGTGGTAGAGGCGAAAACTGTCAGTAATTTCAAAACGTTATATGACAGAGAGTGCTGGGGAGACGGGACACCATGAGCATAGCTCTCATCCTGTAACTACACAGGTAATTACACACACAAAGGAATTGACAGTGTAGATAAAGACAGGCTGTTTAACCCTTAAATTACGCATCGCATCATATGATGCTTTGACGGACTTGCAGTAAATTGCGCATCGCATCATATGATGCTTTGGAGTACTACGCAAGATTTAAACGGCCCGCGGATACACGGGGTTCACCACACCTTCATCAGGGCTCTTGTAAACAGACGCCATTTTTAAAAATATCGTGGGCCAAATTCCCGGGTGTTAGGAGCCTCAGTATTGAGTGAGCTACCAAGCCTGACGCACGCAGCATGAGCTCACAGCACTACTGTTCAGCTTGTGACCACAGCATCGCCTAAAAATGCCATAATATACTTGTTCATGCTATTATGTAGCGATTATATTATTACACAAGATCCCTAACTGTGATACAACTGACCAGGGTTCTGATAATAGCAGGACTGTGATGATATTTAGCCCTGTGCTTCATGGAGGGAGGAGTAATGCTGTGGGAGGGAAGGGTAGTGACGTTGTTTTCTGACTCTGTGTGGCCACCTTTTACTGACTGCACTCACCATACCAGTTTAGTAGTTCGCTATGGTGAACACAAATGTAGATACTTATATATAACGTGTGTATAGAGCAGGGGTGGGCAACCTTTTTGAGAGTATTTGCCAAAATCAGCCAAGTCTCTGACACAAACTTTTTCCACGTGCCAACCATTTTTTTTAGAACATATTTGGTATCTCTTAAGAACTTTTTAAACGAAAAAATAATAAATTACGTCAGTGCAGTAAAACATAGTATAAAAAAAACAGATTTTTTTTTTTATTTAACCTTCAGAAGTACATTTCAACAGCCTTTAAGCTTTTGTGACTTTAATAGAATACAACAGATAAAAAACTTGTTGACTCCTTTTATATACTGTCAGTGAGACTTCTGCTGCTGCATAACTGATGACAGAGATTTTACATCGGGTTTATATTTAGTAACATTGAGAGATATGCATGCAGTGCTAGTTTCATCTGTCATGCTACTCCTGTTATGAGACTTAACAAAGTTCATAATTGAGAACAAAGATTCGCAAGCATATGTAGACGAAAACATGGTTAGCAATGCTGTTGCAAGGTTTTTTAAACAGACATAATTTTCTGGATTAGTATTCCAAGTCCTTAATACTTCGTTTTCCGCATTTTTCTTTATTACTTTCATCTCTAATCTCTCTCTCTCAATATTTTCCAAGTCAACTCTAAGGTCAACAAATTTCTGCTTCCAGATTGAGCTACTCTGAAATTCAATCAACTGCATCTCAAAATCATCCATGTCTATCCATGAAAACATTTGCAAGTTTAGTTCATCCATTTTGATGCTGTCTGGAAACTTGATGAACTTTACTGTGTCTTCCAGTTCTCTGAATTTGGCAAATCTTGTAGAGAACTGCCGAACTGTTGACTCGATAATGTTTACAAACAGCTTTTGAAGACATTTGTGGTCTGTTCTGTCATCTTTTAGATCACTGATGTACCTCTTTAGGTTTGGAAAGTATCTAAATCTCTCATTATCTACATCCCTCTTAAAAACTTTAAGCTTCATTTCAAAAGCTTTTATGTAACAAAACATAACATCAAGTGTCTTAACAGAACCCTGTAACTTAATATTCAATTCATTTAAATGTTCCCAAAAATCTGCAAAAAACATCAGTTTACAAACCCACACGATGTCAGAAAATTCATGGTATGACACTTGTTGGTTGTTCAAATAGAGCTTTATCTCATCTAAGCATTCAATAAATCGTTTCAGAACCAAGCCACTGCTAAGCCAACGAACATGGTTGTACATTTTCAGTCCTTTATACACAGATTCTACCTCATCCAGTAGAGTTTGAAATTGTCTTTTATTTAAAGGCCGACCACAAATGTAATTAACACTTTCACGTACCCCGCGCGCCACCCCTCAACTGTGCGATTTGGGTCCCAGGGTGTCACGGCAGCGCGCGTAAATTCTGAAAAGTGTATACTCTCTTCAACTTTATCACCTTAATTCTCGTCCTACGAGATTAAATTTTGTATCATTGTGTTTGCAATAGAATTCTCTACAGCACTAAATGCATATAAACTCCAAAAGCCCGGCTAATTACCCGCAGCAAACAGAGAAAGTGCGAACGAGTTACCCAGGAGCGCGCAAACGCGATAAAATGTTTTCACTATTTTCACTCTGGTCACCTCAATTTTCGTCCTAGGTCTTTCATTTTGGTCTCAATGAGTTCGCAATAGAATTCTCTAGAGGAACATTAGCATATAAAATAAAAAACCTGGTCACACTCCAACCAGCGACGAGTTGAATACGGGCCACACGTTAGCCGCAAGTGAGCGCTCAGATGCCTTCCAGCTACACTCCCAATTCCCGCCCTTTTCAAGCCCTTCTTTTGCAATTTTCTTCCTGGAAGGGCCTTGTTCATGATCACTATCCATCGTGGAGAAAGCGTAGATAGTTTCTAAAGCCGCAGTAAGAAATATAGCCACGGAAAATAGCCGAAATGTTCACACGTTTGAGATGCAAGGGGAGGCGACATTGGTCACAACAGTGGAGCGAAAACAATGGGCCCATGGCGTGTGCCAAGCAGCCTGAGGGCCACGAGGCTCAACAAAGAAAATGGGAAGACATTGGCGCGCATTTTAAAACCAGTCCCAAAAAAATAGGATAAAAACCTGATTTTTGGTGATTATTTAAAGTGGATGACGCAATGCTGCGTCATCCCCGGCATTACCGACAGTAAACGGATGACGCAATGCTGCGTCATGCCCGGGCGAAAGTGTTAACAACCTTGGTAACTGTTTGCATCACTTCTTGCAGTTCCTTTAGGCCTGCTTTTGCACATAAAGCCTCCTCATGTATGATGCAATGGAAGCCAATCAGTGGATGACCAACACTTATTGCAAACAGATTTACAAATCCTGCCTTCTCACCAGTCATGTTTGGGGCACCATCTGTTGTGACGGATACTACTTTTGAAATGTCAATTTGCCGAGTAGAGAATTCGTTCACAATTGTTTTACATATTTCAGCCCCGGTAGTACGCTCAGGTAGTGATGCAAGAGCAACCATCTCTTCACCAGAGCAACTATATGGCTAGCCTAGCTGATGATGTAATGTCTGTACTTTCATCAACACAAATAGAAAAAAACTTACATGAAGACAAATCTTTTGTCAATTGTTCAGCTGTATTTCTTTCCAACTTAAGTATCCTATCCTTAACTGTTTTCCTTCTCACAGGCAAATCTTTAATGCGCTGAATAATCTTTTTCTTTTCTGAAAAGTTGTCAAAAAGAAAAGGTGCACATTCTAGCCAAGCTTCTTTAATATACTCCTCATCACAGAGAGGCTTTCCGTGTTGGGCAATAACTTTTGAAACTTCAAAACTAGCAGCAACTAAGTTGGAACTGGGCCTACCTGAAATATAATTCATAAAAGTTTCAGCTTGTGTTTTTGTCTTGCTCAGTTCTCGAGAAATTAATTCTCTTTGTTCCTCCTCAGTTTTATTGCTTAAGTTCTTATGAACATTTTCAAAATGTCTCTTTACAGAAGAAGTTCTACAAACAACTGTGTCAGAACAGAAAATGTATAGAGCTTTATCATCCTTCTTAATCATGCCAAACTTTTCAGTCCAGTATTCCTTAAATTCTCTAATATCCTCTTCATTTGACTGACATCATTTCTTAGCTGGTGGTGGTGACATTCTGTACACTCTGTAAAGGGCATGAAATTAAAATAAGTAATATATTGATATGCTTGGAAGAGAAGGAAGATCAAAAGTAAGTCAAAATAGTATATGATGAGTAACTCCAATGAATAGCAATGATAACGGATTGTGTTGTCGTTGTGGAGTGCAGTGACGAGAAATGAATTAGTCTACTTCTACTGAAATGCGAGTATTTAAAGAATTATTTATTTCCTGTTAATATTATAGCACACACAAACTTTGTAGTAAAGTATACCTACATTTATTCTAATACCAATCAATAAGTTTAATAAGCCAATGTTTGAGGTAAGAGTGACGAGACAATGAACATAATAAAAATCTTCAGAGGATTTTTTTTCTTTTATGAAAATTAGAGGGTTTTCTTTATTTTACATAATTCCAGAAACAACACCAGCAGCTGCTTATCACAAAGACACTACTTCCTAGGCATTGAGTACTTATGCCAAGAGTTTATAAGACTTCACTTGGTTCGATAGACAAAACCTGTTTTTGTGTGTTTGTGTGGTGCGTTGTGGCGAAACATCGTTGAGTCGGTGACATCTTGCTTATGTCAGCTCTGTTCTTAGGGAGCAGGCGAGCGAGTACATGTGAATGTAAGAATTAAGACTATTCTTACAATGATATTGAGTTTCACAAAGTTATTGATTTATAAGGGGAATAATTTTCACCTGGAGATGAAGTACTGACCTTCTTCTCGGGGAGGAGGCAAGTGAGAAACACAGCGAAGCAAGACTGCGAGAGAGAGTTACGAGTCTGAGATCGTCTGAACATGTGATCATTACGGGGACTTCATGGGGGTGGGGGACTGTTGATTTCACTGGTTATATTACGGCCGTCAATGGAGAGAAGGGGAGAGCATAAGAATTCTTATCTTTCTTTAGCTTTCGAAGGTGAAGATGCTTTAGATTTAGATAGTAAAGTGAGTTTAATTAATATGCGTCAAACTGAAGTCGGGCGGCATTCTAACACATGAGGTTTAGGGGGGGGGGGGGAGATGTTGTGGGGGTTTAAATTCAAAGTTTACGAAATTCATTTTTAAAGGTAGGCAGGCATGGCGTATTTTGCCTTCACAGATATGATTGTCAGTGTACACTATGGTTATGGGTGCAGCCTTTAGGTTAGAAAGGCTTATTACATAAAATATGAGCCAGAGTAAATAGAGGGGAATCATCATACATCGGCATGATCGATGACATAAAAAAAGAAGGTAACTATGGCAACAAGATCAACTTCTTTTTCTTGAGACCTCTTTAGCTTCGTAGAGCTTAAATGTCTTCACCACCAGGATGTACATATACTGTCATGGCATGTAAGCTTATACCCCAAGGAAAGTAGTTTTTTTTGTCTGTGCTTAGGGTAACATGTGCTTGCATCTGTGCTTAGGGTAACCTATGCTCTTGCGTGCCAGAGACAAGTCATCGGCGTGCCAAGTTCGGCACGCATGCCAGAGGTTGCCCACCCCTGGTATAGAGGGAATAAACAGCAAGAGGAGTAGGTTGGGAGCTGCCATTTTGGTGAGGGCGGTGGCGTCGTCTGCATGACTTATCATGTTGTTTACTGGTGACCACGATGGTCTTTGGGCACCATACCAGTTTACTTGTATAAGTATGGTGAATAAAACAGGTAGATATTTATATATAATGTGTGTATATAGTGTAATAACACCACAAACAGTATTGTTGGAGGAGAAATATTAGTGCGTCTGGCCTTGAGGGCAGCAGCCAGCTGACTGTGTAAGTAGCTACATCTTTGTGCCTTTACTCACCATACAAGCTTAGATATACAGTTATGGTGAACAAAACATGTAAATACTTATATATAACGTCTGTATATAAAAGCAAAAACAGTATGGTGGGTGGAGAATGGTGGCGAGCCAGGTGAGGTGAGGTAGGGAGGGAGTGGCAGCCAGTGGTGGGCTGCCACTGCCACTCAGCATACCAACTTAGTGGTTCGTTATGGTGAACACGAATGTAGATACTTATATTAGGGTCTATATATATAGTTAATAAAAGCAAAAACAGTATTGTGGGAGGAGAATGTGGGTGAGTCAGGTGACTTGAGGGAGGGAGGAAGTAGCAGCCAGTGGTGGGCTGCCACTGGCACTGCCACTCAGCATGCCAACTTAGTGGTTCGTTATGGTGAACAAAACATGCAGATACTTATATATAACCTGTGTATATAGTGTAATAACCGACAAAGTATTTGTTCACTGTTTGATGAACATAATTGTATCAACAATATGCACATCATATTTTTGAGTACAGCAATGATTCACTCATCTTATTATATAAATATATCACACTACACACTATTGAATAATATTACAGCAAAAATCTATGAAAAATCAATCAGAGACATTGAAATAATTAGGTAATTATCTCTTTGTGGCTACTCCGGCCTGACAGCTGGCGAGCAACAAACCACTTGGGACGCACGCTGAGTCAGCGCTTGTTTTTTGCCAGACTTCCCCGCTCTATAGCGGGCAAAATACAGTGGGGCCTCGAGTTACGATGGTAATCCGTTCAAAGAGATAGATCTTAAGTCGAAATATCGTAAGTCGAAGCAATTTTTCCCATAAGAAATAAATGGAATTGAATTAATCCGTTCCTTACCCTCCAAAATATTAACTTACAAATACATTTTATACTGAATACAAAGTTTTTTCTAACTACAATACAGGACATAAGTTTATCTTACCTCTATGGAGGTCTCTTGATGGAGTATGGAAGATGGTGATGAGGGGGGAGGAGGAGAGGTGTTACTGTTTGGAAGGGGAGTCCCCTTCCATTATAACTTTAGGCAGTGATGACTTTTCTGGGGTACACTCCCTCTCTTAAATTTTACCTGCATACCACTAGGACCTGGTTATGATTCATTGCTTAATTGTCTCACTAAAATCCTTTCCAAAGATTTTTGTTTTTCCATATGTTTTAATTTTTATCTGTAGTGAGGCATCACAGTGCCATTTAAAAGGTTAAGGCAACGGCGTACTGCACCATGATTTGGGTGAGTCGTTTCAGCAAAAGTTTGCAATTCTTCTCATGCTGCACACATTTTCTAAATTAATGAGGAAGGGACATTCTGTACTGTCTCCTCCTCCCCTGAAGAAATTTCCTCAGCCGTCTCTTGTTGCTGCTCATTGTGAAGTCCTTCGGTGGTCAGTTCTTCGCTGTGTTCATCCACCAGCTTGCAACACACAACACTCAGAACACTATGAATGCCACTTCCTTTTCTAAATTTCTCAAACCATCACCTGCTCGCCTTAAACTCTTTCGCATTTGCATCACTCGTTCCAGGGGTTTTCTTTAACCCTCAAACCGCTAGGGGCCCAAATGGAATTCACACCCACAGGCGCAACAAAAAAAAAAATCCAAAAAATTCTTTCGTCTTATAGAAGTGTTCATTTTTGTTCCCTGATCACGGAAAAAATAACAAAAAAATCGTAGGTGGCATATTTTAGCCGCAATAGGGTAGGGAAGTGTGGCAAAAAACCAGCGTTGAATCGAATGAAACGCCATTTTCTAGGTGAGACCCGGAGGCTCCCCGGAGCTTTACCAGGCTGATGTGCTAATGTCAGACTTTGGCAACAGTCATGTGTATGGAGTTCTAGGGCCTACCGGGGACCACGAGCCAGAACCTGGCCCCCTCAGAGAGGCAAGGGGAGCAATGGCCTATAGAAACCCCCGTGTGGTAGGAAGCATTCTATGTCTGCCATCGACCGGGTCAAGCATCCAGAAAGGTAAGCATTCCAAAACAAACCCCTATTCTGGTGAAAATTGCTACCTAAAGCCGAACTAGTGGATAGAACTCTTCAACAGAAAACAAGGAAACTAGTATGACGTCTTACATCACCGCGCCGCTGTCTGCGCAGCTCCCCCCTCCCTGGGAGGGGGAAGGGGGAGCCCCAGACCTCCCACGCCGCCTATCCACCCATCAGTTCTCAGGCTGGATGTCAAAACGCGCAAAAAACCGCCGACCGGAGGGAGGGAGGGTTGCCGGGGAGCCTCCGGGTCTCACCCAGAAAATGGCGTTTCATTACATTCAACGCTGGTTTTCTGCGGGGAGCCCCGTCGGCTCCCCGGAGCTAACTACCCACAGAGGAAGGTCAAAGGGACAGAACCGGGAGGCGGACACCACGCACCCCCCCACGGAAGCGAGACAACCAGCAGCAAACGCCAACCCAAGGCGCCACAGCCCCGAAAAGTCCCAGGAACAACACGAGAACAACGAGCAGCAAGGCCCCCGCACGAACACCAAAAATCCATGCCCTAAAGACCGCAAGGCCACGTCGCCCAGACGGCAGCAAGAGCAGCGAAGCCACGAACGCCACGGGCATGAGGGAAGAACACAGGCAGCCTAGCCGCAAGAACACGGCTGACCACCCAGGACACCATCACCCGCGAAGAAGAACCGGATCAACACAAAACGTGCACCGGACCCAAACGCCGTAGCACGCAAACAACAGTGGAGGGCCGCCACTGAACACAAAACACGACACACCCCTGGCCCGACCAACGAAGCACCAACAAACCCTGGACCCCTCCAGAACGCAGCAGCCCTTCCCCGTGCCAGAAAAGATGGAGACTGCTGCCATTGAACAACCAAAATGCTAAAACCAAAGGAGTAAGAAAACTCAGCGACTCGACCCCCAGAGGCAAAGGCCAAAAGGAAAGAGCCGACGAAAAAACACACCGGAACCGAAGGGGCACTACTAACCGAGGAGAAGACAGAGCACGCTGACCAGAGACTAGGATGGTGCAAGCGGCGCACGAACAGGCCGGAGGTGAAATGACACACGAGACAGCTTACTAACGGTGCAGAAGCAACACCAAGACTGAAAGCAAGCTAAAGCGGCTCCGCCAGCGCTGCACGAAAAGAGGCGACAGTATGTGGCAAGACGACAGCCGCCAACTCCCACCAGAAAACCAAGCCGAGAGTAAACCAAGCTAACAAGAGTAACCACCTAAGAAGGGACAGGAAAAGGAAGGAGCGCTAAAACACCCCATACTGCTGTCAAGAGAAGCACGCAGGTGGGACACCTACCACGAAGCCACCCGACCACCAACCGGAGGCGAGACCGCGAAGCAGAACATAAGCAGCCCCGACAAGGCCCCTCCGAGCCCAGGAAAAAGCGGAGCCGCGGGAAGATCTCGGGCGCGACCACCGAAACCCAGGCAGCACAAGGAGATGGAACGTCTGCCGAA